TTATTATATCCATAGAGAGCCTGTTATATATATATATGGTTTTAAATCATGAAAGGTTTGCATCAGGTTTGTATTTTTTCACTTACTTATGCAATCTGTATGCTGAGAAAATAACCAGAGAAGCTGGACTCTATATAGAAGAATGAAGCATCAGGCTCATAAGAAGGCTTATTAACAGCCTGCAATATGCAGATGACACAACCCTACTTCCTGAAAGTGAGGACTTGAACATTTCTGCTGATGAAGTTCAAGGACTGCAGCCTTCAGTATGAATTGCAACTCAGTGTAAAGAAAACAAAATTTATCCCAGCTGAACCAATAGGTAACATTATGATAAAAGGAGAAATCGATCAATGTTATTAAGGATTTAACCTTGTTTGGGTCCACAACAGCAGTAAAAAAAAAATTTTTAAGTGCATTGTAGTGGTGCACAAGACCTCTATAAAGAGCAAGAATGTCACTTTCCAGACTAACCTGTCCCTGACCCAAGCCACGATATTTTCAATTGTCTCATATGCATGTTAAAGTTAGACATTGAATAAAGAAGACAGAAAAATAATTGAAGCATTTTAATTATGGTGCTGGAAAAGTATATTTGAAGTATGGTGGACTTTCAGAATGAAAAATAAATTTATACATAAGTATAAATGTGCTTGATATAATTGCTGTATGGATTGTTAAAAGAGTTCTAAGAGGCCCCGATAAAGCAATTTATATAATAATAATAATAATAATAAAAATATACCAGAACAAAATAAATAAATCTGTCATGGAAGAAGTACAGCCAGAATGCTCTTTAGAAGGATGAATGGGGAGAGTTTCACTCTCATACTTTGGATGTTATCAGAAGAGGCCGTTACCTGGAAAAGGCAGGACGTCATCCTTGGTAAAGTAAAAGAACAGTGCAAATGAGAAAGGCTCTCAATGAGATGGCTTGACACAGTGGCTCACCAAATTGGCTCAAACAGAGCAATTGTGACAATGGCGCAGGACTGGGCAGTGTTTCATGTTGTACATGGGGGAGCTATGAGTCCGAAATAACTTGATGGCCTTTAACAACAAGGCTTCAATGTCATGTGGAATAGTAGTACTAATTGGGTTGCAAGGCCAGCAGTTTGAAATCATTGGCAACCCTGCCAGAGAAAGACGAGGTTTTTTACTCCCATAAGGACTTTACAGTCTTAGAAATCCATAGGGCAGTTCTATCTGGTCCTATAGGATTGCTATGAGTTGAAATAAACTCAATGGCCATTGGAAGCTCCCAGAAGCCTAACTCCTATTTCTCTGTTCTTGCCAGATAGGTCTTTCCCACCCACCAAGAAAACCTTCCCGACAGGCCAGCTCACTTGTGGTTAGGATCACTGTACCTTCATCAGTCCCCAACATAGAGAGCTTTACTCTCCTGTCAGCCTAAAAAACATCATTCAAGCTAGACAATCACATCCACCTGTGGGCTCCATCAGTTACCTCGCCCTCTCGTTACTCCTAAACCTTCCTTTCATAACTTCTGCTGGTTCAATCTGCACCTATGTGCAAGTCCCTTGCTGTCCAGTTGGGTGTGCAGTGTCTTCTTCCACAGAGTATATGTAATTAATAAGCTGCAGCTATTAATTATGTTTTGTATTTGGCCATCTCACATCTGAGGGCAGGACTCCTTTGGTTATCCATGGGGAGAAGAGGTGGTGCACAAATATTAGCCTGAGACCAAGAGCAGACAGACCTCATTAGAAAAATGCAAACCTATATAGCCCTAATGAGTGTACAGGAAAATTGTCAACCAAATATTACAAAGAGGTATCCAACAACATATCAGAAGAATGATACACCACAACCAAGTGGAAATGAGCTTGAGAATGCAAAGGAGGTTCAACAAACAAAATCAGGAGATGTCTTAAACCGCACTAATAAAGGACAAAGACCACATGATCATCAAGAGAAAGAGGAAGCATTTGACAAAAATCTGTCTTTTTTGATAAAAATAGTCAACAGGCTTGGAATAGAAGGGGTCTTCTTTAAATTGACAAAAACTGCTTTCCTTTCTGATTTGCATGGATTCTTGGTTTCGGTGAGAAATCCTTTCTTGGTATATCAAAATAGGTAAAGGAAAGCTATGACTGGATGTCAATGCACCACATACCCTCGTGTATAAGCCAAGGTTTTCAGCACATTTTAAATGCAGTGTTTGTGGTAAAATTAGGTGGTTTGGCTGATAGTCAGGTCGGCTTATACTCGAGTATGTACGTAGACAGATTTCAAGCCTTGGTATTTCCTCCCGGGGCTCAGCTGAGTAGGCTCTGGGCATCCCCTCTGGGGGCCTGCTTCCCAGTCACTGAGTGAGCTAAGTGTGTAGTGTAAACTCTTAGAATGAATGGCGATGCCATTATATTATATTATACCTGAGGGTGTCTGACATTGCCTTTGTTAGGGAATAAAGGATGTGTGACACTTACTGACTGGTGTATGCCTTTTGGTGTTCTGAAATCTCCATTTTATTGTAAATCAAAGTCTAGTTTAATCCACCAGGGAATGAGCCCTACCTTCGGCAGGCTCTTTAACATAATATGATTTAAAAATATTCTGATGTGTAAATTTATGATGATTCTACATCTTTACCTGTTTGGTGTCATCTGATCTGTAAATAACTTATCCCTGCCTAAAAATTCTCTGTATTACGTATTCTCCTATGCCTGCAATTAATTCACTGCTTACTTGATTGACTCCCCACTGTTATCACTGGAGCGAGAAACCCTTAACCACACCTTTCATAAGCTCTGCCATCACACATGCACTGTTCTGGGTTTGGCTATACCCATCACCTGTGGAAATACACACACACACACACACACATTCTGAGCAAGCATTACTCAATTTATACAAGTTACATGCATGCACGTATGACTCAACAGCATAGCAAAATAGTGTTATAGACAGAAAGCAGATATAAGACAAATTGGGGAAGAGAACTGTCACTTCATGAATTCAGTATCCTTTTAAGAAGAAATTAATAGGAAAAAAGACCAAAGAACACAAAGGAGGTAACTTATAAAAGCAAAAACAAAAGGCCAATAATGCGGACAAAATGTTTAACCTCACAAAACAGCAAACATCCTATTTTTATTAAAATAGCACAGACAGGAAAGGAAATCAGAATGTGCAATGATATTTATGCTTCAAGGGTTACGGGCAGCCTATTCTCCCTGACTTTTAAAGATTATAACAATTTCCATTCTCATGAGACATCTGAAACAAAAGGCTTAAAAAGGCTTATCTTGGATTCTACAGGTTTTCTTAAGAAGATAAACATATGCATAAACTGATAATCATATTTATCAGTTACTTATATTAATAACAAAAATCAGAAACATCCTGTTGTCATGGTAATCATTTTCCATTGTGTGATGTAATTCAGTGCATTCAATTAAAAAACAGATTTTCAATAAAACATGGGAATAGATAAATTCTTCTGCGAGTGGTCTGGTTAGAAAATGAAAATGGTACATAGGAAATTTATGGTTTTAAGAAAATTTCTTACTCCAATAGATAGGGAGGTAGGGGCATCTATAGCATAGCTGGAAGAAAACTACAATTTGACAGGTGAGAAGCACATTTTTGGCCACCAGTGTCATTCTGAAGTGTTTCTGAAGACTCAATTTGATGATTTTGAACCATATTCATGAACATGCAAAATTACACATTTTAATATGCTTAAAAGAAAAAAATTAAAGGCAGTAATGTCAGTTCAACATGGGTTTCCTGACCCTATTCAAAGCTGACCCTATCCAACAGTGTAATACCACAAAGATGCAGAAGGACGACTTTTCAGCAAGCATAATCTAGTTATGTGGTGGGGGATTATGGATGGTGTATGAGAGGACTTCAAAAGTTCATGGAAAACTGGAACCAAAAGATCATGCAATTTTATGCCAGTGTTGCTGTTTTTTTAATTTAAAAAATCATTTTATTTGGGGCTCATACAACTCATCACAATCCATACATACATTAGTTGTGTCAAGCACATTTGTACATTTATTGCCATCATCATTCTCAAAACATTTTCTTTCTACTTAAGCCCTCAGTATAAGCTCATTTCCCCCCCTCCCTCCCTCACGAACCCTTGATAATTTATAAATTATTTTGTCATGCCTTACACTGTCCAACGTCTCCCTTCACCCACTTTTCTGTTGTCTGTCCCCCAGGGAGGAGGTTATATGTAGATCCTTGTAATCGGTTCCCCCTTTTTACCCCACCTTCCCTTCACTCTCCTGGTATTGCCACTTTTACCACTGGTCCTGAGGGGTTCATCTGTCCTGGATTCCCTGTGTTTCCAGCTCCTATCTGTACCAGTGTACATCCTCTGGTCTAGCCAGATTTGTAAGGTAGAATTGGGATCATGATTTCAACAAATGGGGGGAGGAAGCACTTAAGAACTAGAGGAAAGTTGTATGTTTCATCGTTGCTACACTGCACCGATTGGCTCTTCTCCTCCCTGAGACCCTTCTGTAAGGGGATGTCCAGTTGCCTGCAGATGGGTTTTGGGTCCCCAATCTGCACTCCCTCATTCACAATGATATTTTTTGTTCGTTGATGCCTGATACCTGATCCCTTCGACACCTTGTGATCACACAGGCTGGTATGCTTCTTCCATGTGGGCTTTGTTGCTTCTGAGCTAGACGGCTACTTGTTCAAGCCTTTAAGACCCCAGACACATATCTTTTGATAGCTGGGCACCATCAGCTTTCTTCACATTTGTTTATACACACATTTGTCTTCAGTGATCGTGTCAGGAAGGTGAGCATCATGGAATGCCAGTTTAATAGAACAAAGTGTCCTAGCATTGAGGGAGTACTTGATTCACCAGTGTTTTTTGTTGTCACCTATATTCTCTTATAAACCTTCATTAAAAAATTGGACATAGTTATTTTTTAAATAAAACAATTGTAATAAATGTTAAATAAATTGTACCAAACTACAATTTTTTTTCAATAAGATGCAAACCAAAGTTAATATGTAAACATGATTTATTAGACTACAAAAGTAGCTTCAATACAAGGAAAGTTAGAATACATTTGGCTGTTCATGACTTGGTCTTGGCAAATGCTTAGTGGTTGCATCTGGTCCCACCCCCCTCTGCATAGCTCAGCTGTGCACACACAGCAGCTTTGCCGAAGCAGCGGTCCCTGGCCGTCAGCATGTGTTGTTGAGCACCTAGGAACACAGCAATATCACTCACATCTCTCTTAGGCTAAAAACATTTGGCACAATTCATAACCCAATTGATAAACACCAACACAGATTATGGCTAATACTTCCCTATATGCATGTTGTATTCAAAAAGGACTCATTTAGACACAGCCAACACAGTTGTTAAAATACATTTTAAGAAAAATAAATATTCTGCAGAATGTATTTACAAGGATCACTTGTTTTGTCCTCCCACCCCAAAATTATTATAAAATTGGGAAATTACAGTGTGATAATTAAGAAGAATATTCTTGGCCATTAGTGTCAGTTCAGCACAGACTGTGATTCTGAAAATTCAAAATCTTTTCTGAAGCATATTTATAAATATGTTAAATTTAAAACTTTAATATGCTTAGAAGAAACACCAAAAAGGAAGTAACAATTATTTTGCTTGGATTTCATGATCCCATTTAAGATAAAAATATACAACATTACATTCCTACCCTATAATTAATGAGGGATGATTTTTCATATTCTTTAACACTCAGGCCTGCCATCAAGTTATTACTTTTAAACACAAAGAACATTTACAATCAGCTATTGCATAAATAAGCACAATGTACAGCCTTTAACAGAGAAAGCAATGAGGATGGAGTGTTGGGGCTGCATTTAAAATTTGAAGAGGTCAATGAAGTGCTGAGGAGACACAGGCATGAAACAGCTGTCTGGGTCCGTGGCAGTGCAGGGGTGTCCTGAGTCCTGCAGCGGAGAGAGGACAGGGACAAGGTTACACTGATGGATCAGGCACCACCACTGTCAGCAAGTTAGCAGCTATTTGTTTGAATGGACAATGAAATTCAACTTGAGAAGGTAGTCACCAAAAGTTTGATCAGGATTCTAAACCAACAGTATTATCAATAGTTTATCAACAGAAGTTTTTCTAAGCAAGTTGTGACCTCAGAAAATAGACCCTCGAAAACAATACAACTCCCTAAGTTTAAAGGAACATGACTGCCGGGACCTGCGAACAGCAGAATAAATGTATAACACCACGGGTTTTTCTGACACACAATCCCCCGGCCATTCTCTCTTTCCACTAGAAAATACTCTTTTTACATTTTTTCCCAACCATGTGGTTCCTAATTCCTGTTTTATAATGTCCTCTAGTCATCATTCCCTCTAGTCATCATTCATCCCATGTATACAGCTTGGTTGTACACCGCCTCTATCCTAGAAGTGGTGCAAGAACGCACGCCAGGCCTTGGCAAGATTCATGAGCTGAATGGTGGAAATCCCAGCTAAGAGAGTGGTGGAAAGAAAGTCAGAGCTTCTGCCCACATGTACCTTCTGTGAGGTGGGAGGGAGCCCAGCCCAGCAGCCCTGCAAATGTTATCTAACATACAAAGAGAGCTAGAAGCCCGCACTCTACTAACGAGTCTTAACTTCACTTAGTAAGAAAAAGGACTTCAGGAAAGTTTAAATATTTTGTGGATTAAAATTAACTTAGCCTTTGGAGAACAAGAAGCTTAAAGAAGACGGAAACTCTAGGGAATTTGCAACGATATTGCTGTTTTGTTGTTGTGTGCAGTCCAGTTGATTTTGACTCACGTGATCTACTGGGGCAAAGTCGGACTGGCCTACAGTATTTGCTAGGCTGACATCTTCACGGGAGCAGACCACCGGGTCTTTCCAAGCACAGCAAAGTCAGTGGGTGGAACTGCCAACTTCTTTTCCTTTATCTTATGAGGCAAGAGCTTAACCATTTTGAGAGGAGGGTTCCTTCAGCGGTTATTTTAATCCATTGCTAGTGAGCTGATTCTACTTCATAAGAATTCTGGTTAAGCAGGGGTTAAACCCTGGATTGCTAAGCAATGGGTCAGTCGTGTGAACCGACCAGATACTCCACAAGAGAAAGGTGTGCAGTCTGCTTCTGTAAAGCTGACAAGTTTGGAAACCCCATGGGCCAGCTCTACTCCATGCTGAAGGGTGGCTTTGAGTATGAGAGGCTACATTAAGTAAGTATAAGGGTTTCTATTTCAAAATGGTTCCTCAATGGCTGTCTTAGCAATCCTAAATTACTGTCTGATGGTGTCTTATCTGAATGACAAATGAACAAGTCCACACTTTGCCTATATGGCTGTGCTGTATTGCTCAAGCATCGGCCTATAAAATAGTTCATGAAAATACTCCGGTGCTTGTTGACATAAATAATCAGGAGAGTTGCAGTTTTCTTTCACTGGATACCGTTTTTTCATTAACCTCTGCGCACAAGCATATGCTGTATAATTTAGGTGACAATTCTGAGGTGTAGAACTGAAATCGGTGTTAAATTTTACTGGCTTACTATGTAATGGCAAGGATCATACCACAGTTCATCAGTATTAGTTTCAAACACAGCATGTGTGGTAAAACACGGAAGTACCTTGAATAATAAAGCAAGATGGTAGTCCTTTGAGTCATGAAGACAGAATCAGGAAGGAATGCAGTAAAGGGAAAGAGAAAACAGAAAAGGAAAAGTTAAGTTCAGAAAAAGTCAGATTGTATTGAGATATTTAGGTTTGAGGCATATTACTTATGAAAATAACTAAAAACAGCAGGTAAATCTTGGCAATACCGAACAATATTAAGAGCAAGCATGTAAGACAACATAAAATACCCCATAAAACTTTACAACTTGATGACATTGTCTTAATGATAAGTATTTCCATTTCCTTATAAGATTTCCAAAATTATAACTAATGAGATTTCAATATTAAACTTAAAAGTTGTCTATTTAAAAAGTATATAAGTGATGCTGATATTTCCCCATATCCTATAAATAATGAGGGCTATAGATGAGCGAGTAGGTGAGTCCCGCTCTGTTGCTAGTTGCTAGTTGCTAGGGAGTAGATTCCTACTCATGGGACCCTCCCCCCACCCCCACCCCACCCCCATGTGCAGAGCAGAGCTGCTCCATAGGGTTTTTAAGGTTGTGATCTTTCAGAAACCGATCATTAGGCTTGTCTTCGGAACCACTTTTGTATAGATTTGAGCCACCACCAATGTTTACGCTAAAGGTCAAGTCCTTAATCGTTTGCTCCCCTCAGGGATTCTTCGTTCCACTCTACATAAGTGTGAAATGCCCCAATTTTACCAGATTTCTAAACTTACAGTACCATCTGTCTGGAAGTTGGTAGAAATACTTCCCTTTTTGGAGCTAATCTATCTTAGATGTCTGGCTTCAGTTTTAAAGATTAGGTCAGTGATGATGAGTCTACCAAACACCTCGTGCCGTGGACAAAATTAGAGGCCATTATGCTCAGCAAAGTTAACCTCACAAAGAGAAATCTTTTATGACATCATTATTATAAATGTAAAAATAAAAATGGTTTGCATACCAAAAGATATAACTTTAAAGATCACTAAGAAGCCAGGACTGGGGAGGAAGGGAAGAAAGAAGCTGCAGGATGGTCATGAGGGAGCTTTAGGTGGGAACAACAGAAAACGAAACACAAAATAAAGAGCATCTACATGGGAGGTGCATGTGCGGATGTCATTCTCTTGATGAGCGGGGCTGTGCGTCGACACAGAATACGTTTTTCTCTGTCTCTATTCTATTCTACAAACAAAAGGGAATATAAATTTAAATATACATAGAAATACATTTAAAAATTAAATAAAACAAATAAAGTTAAATTTTTAAAAAGAGAGAGTGAATGGCCACAGCTTTAAGTCCATCCACTCAAATACTGGTCTGAGATGCTATACTACGGGGAAAAGCTCAAGTGAAACAGAGTTAAATTCTTTTATCACATACCTAGTTTCAAACAAACAAACAGAAGTATATTAAAAACAAATACTTTTTTATTATTTGATTTAAAATTCCATATTATTTTGATTTAAAAGCTCAGGTAAGGGAGATGTAAAAATTTTGAATTCTTTTGGTTATTATTATTAACACAGGAGAACCAAAAGATATGAAATTGTAGTAAGCAGATTTAAATATACATTTAAATATTTTACAATGAAAAATCTCAAACACGTGATGAAAAAGAGACTACATAACCAATCTCCATTTACCAATGACCTACTTTCAACAGTTTTAAAATTCTGTCATTCTTGTTTCATCTAAATCCACCTGCTTTTGTTGTTTTAGTTGTATCTTTTGACTATGAATTACAAAATTACAAAATTATGAATTACAAAAGACACAAAAGTTGTATCTTTTGATTATGAATTACAGAATTATGTGTTGTGCAGTTAAAACAGGCATCAAAAAACCTTCTTATAAAATGCTTTGTAATTGCTTGCAGGTTAAGTTTGGTTATATGGAAAGCTCTTGTTAAAAACAGTCACGAAGTACTGGAAAAACAAAACAAAATGAAACTTAACAGGTAGTGAATGGGATGTCAGAACAGGCAACGTGAAGTAGAGAATGTCAGCTTGATCCTTGACCCTAACATGCATCGATCATCCTTGCTTTGCAAATTAGCTGAAGGAGAAACCACTCTTGGGAAAGCACAGCTCAATCGATGTAACAGGGAATGTGTGTATGATGACAGGAAGTGCAAGTACTCTCAAGGGAGCGGATAATGCCTTGAGCTAGTGTTACAATGTTACACAATAAAATTCAGACTAAAAACAAAAACAAAAAAGTGATGACAGAACTTCTGTGGTTTTAATGGTAATGATTATCTAGAAAGGCAAAGAAGTATATGGAAGGAGACAGTCACCAGAGCTCACAATGGGAACTGTTAGGAGCAGGTTGTCTTCCCCTTGCAAGGACTGGGGACCAAGGACCAACCCAGGCAGACCTGACTAATTCTATCTGGGCTAAGAACAGCAAATATCAAAGGCAACTACAAGGTAGTCTGGCATCAAATGTCTAAGGGTGAAGTTACCTCAGCCCTGTGTGTCAAGACATGATGCAACATACTGGCATGAAGCAGGGAACCAATAGAGAGGTCTACGGAGCTGGCCCCAATCCCAACTACGTGGACACCCCTGCTTCACACCAGAAGAATTCACTTCAGAGGACAGCACTGAAGCCACAACTCAGGGAGAGGGGTGCCACCTGATCAGAGCACATAGGAACAAATGAAGAGAAAAGGAGAGAGAGTGGAACACATCCTGGCCTACAAAGCACCCAGGATGATATTCGTGCTCAGAGCAGCCAATGCACAGAGGACCATAGGGCCAGCCCCACCATGAAACACGATGTCCCTCACTGACCCACTGGGCTATGAGGGACAACACAGGAAGCAAAGTACGGGAATTGTTCCCCATCTGACCCCACCACATCAGGGTGAAATGCTAAGAACGTGTAACAGAGCAGTAAGGGGAGCAAAGCAGAAGTTCCTGGGGAATACCAAAAATAGATTTTGGGGCCAGAGGGTAGCACCCCATGAGACTCGACTGGAAAACACTCTGATAGGTCAACAAACAGCCTGGAACTATTTATAAGCATTTCATTTTTCTGTTGCAGTTTTTTTTCTTTTGTTGTTTTGCTTTGCTCTGCCTTGTTTTTGCGCTTACTATCATCTCTGCATGTCTATCTAGATAAGATAGGTGGGATTAACAATTGGGAAGAGAAAACAATGGGACTGATGGTTCCGGTGGGGTGGGGGTGGGGGAACATGGGAGAGGGGGAGGTGTGAGAAAGGAAGTGGGCGCTAACAAATCCAGGGACAAGGGAACAACAAGTGAACTAAAATCCATGGAGAGGAGGGCGTAGGATGCCTGGCAAGGCTTGATCAAGGGCATTGTAACCAGAGGAATTACTGAAATCCAATGAAGGCTGAACATGATAGTGGGACAAGAGAAAAATAAAAGGAAAGTGAGCAGCGGTTCTCAACCTGTGGGTTGTGACCCCTTTGGGGGTTGAACAACTCTTTCACAGGGGTGGTCCAATTAATAACAGTAGCAAAATTACAGTTATGAAGCAGGAACGAAAATAATTTTATGGTTGGGGGGTCACCACAACCTGTGGAACTATATTAAGGGGTCGTGGAATTAGGAAGGCTGAGAACCACTGAAATAGAGGAAAGAACTAGGAGGTGAAGGGCATTTATAGAGGTCTAAATACAGGCACATACATATGTAAATGTATTTATATAAAACGATAGAAAAATAAATCAATGCACATATATTTATATGTTAAGTAAGTATTAAGGTAGCAGACGGACATTGGGCCTCTCTACCCAAGTACTCCCTCGACTCAAGAACACTTTGTTCTAATAACCTGGTATTCTATTCTGTGATGCTCAGCTTTCTGACACAATCACTGAAGACAAAATGGATGCATACGCAAATGTGGTGAAGAATGCTGATGGTGCCCAGGTATCAAAAGATAATAGCATCTGGGGTCTTAAAGGCTTGAAGGTAAACAAGTGGCCATCTAGCTCAGAAGCAACAAAGCCCACATGGAAGAAGCACACCAGCAGGTGTGACCATGAAGAGTCGATGGGATCAGGTATCAGGCATCAAAGGCCCAGAACAAAAAATCATATCAATGTGAATGAGGGGGAGTATTGAGTAGAGACCCAAAGCCCATCTGTAGAAAATTGGACATCCCCTTACAGAAGGGTCACAAGGAAGAGACAAGCCTGTCAGGGTGTAGTATAGCATCGATGAAACATACAACTCTCCTCTAGTTCTTTAATGCTTCCTCCTCCCCACTATCATGATTTCAATTCTACCTTACAAATCTGGCTACTTGTATATTGGTACAGATCAGAGCTGGAAACACAGGGAATCCAGGACAGATAAATCCCTCAGGACCAATAATGAGAGTAGTCATACCAGGAAGATAAAGGGAAGGTTGGGGGAGAAAGTGAAACCAATTACAATGATGTACAGATAATCCCCTCCCAGGGGGATGGACAAAAGAAAAATGGGTGAAGGGAGACAGAGGTCGGTGTAAGACATGAAAAATTTTAATAAATTACCAAGGGTTTATGAGGGAGGGAAGGTGGGGGAGGGGGGAAAAGAGCAGATACCAAGGGTTCACATAGAAGAAAATGTTTTGAACATGATGATGGCAACATATATACAAATGTGCTTGACACAATGGATGTATGTGTGGATTGTGATAAGAGCTGTACTAGCCCCCAATAAAATGATTTTTTTTAAAAGAGACACAACAGTAAAGATCTTGAGCAAATTAAGTTAAATAAAAGGTGAAATGTATTTGAGTATGTACGTATTTGTCATTATATTTTAAAAGAAACTTTGTAAAAGAAAGGACTTGTTGTGGGGGCATGGAACTTGAAGAGAATAGGGTTTCTGGGCAAGATATTCAATATCTCTGATCCTCACTTTCCTCATTTGTAAAACAGAAAGTATACTTAAAATGTTGTAAGAAATATAAAAATGTATGGAGCGATCACTTTGTTAATATACAGGAATCCCATTGATTGTTGTTATTTACCCCCACCATATTGCCGAAACTGTTAATTAGTGACAACATTT